GTGTCCTGGGATCCGAGGTGAAATTTATGATGGTCTCATGGTAAATTAATTTCGATGCGTTATGTTGGTACCTTGCTTTGTACGATGCATATTCATGGTCCTTTTAGGCTGTCACAAGATTCATAAATGAGTCGAGGTTCAATGGAATGTAGGACTGAACTCAGCTGATCCAAGCTGCTCACAATACGCTAATTTCTCTTACTATAAAGATTCTGCAAACTCCGGAGTCTGAACTCTAAAACCACATATTCTCTTTACCTGCTATTATACAATTTAAGTGTTCAGTATTGTCCACCAAATTTGTTGCATATAATTATAAGGTGAGCAAGTATGATGAATGAGATAACCAGCACTCAAAGAATCATCCCAAAAAAACATGTTGGAACTTTCAAGCTGTCCTTTCAGCTGATTCTATAGACAATGAGGTCAGATCCTCCATTGTCGGCTGAGATATCTCCACAATGCTCCTGAACAACCAGCTTGTGACTTTAAAACCACTAAAGGGTGAAATTTCTGTGTGAGGTGGGAGGGTCGACTGAGCAATTTTGTGAACCTGTACCAGGTACCTGCTACCAACGTGATACTTTGTAGTTATCGACACCACAGAGCTCATCTTCCCGGCTCACACTTTCTCTTTACAGCACCTCGTACCTCAGACGACTGCCAGACTTTGGGTAAGGAGTGATATGACCACCATAAACGTCATCAAGTAATTAACATGCAAGCTTGAAGCACCGTGGGAAATTGGAGAAGCTGAAATTGGGGAACCAATCAATTAGTCTAAACCACCTGAGAAATAGTAACATTCAAATTTCCAATGACCATATATATTGTAATATAATTGTCGTAGTAGACATTAATTAGGCTATGATTCTCACATCTCGGTCAGTTTCCCCATCAAAGAGGATAAATTGTTCGTCTCTTTTCCATATTTGGTAGAAGTGATGAACCCCCTTTAGCAAGGTTCCACCAATCACTCTGATTTCACCGGCAACCTTCCCCAGGGTTGCCACACCCCAGAGGTAGGCAGAGCATCTCAATGCTATCCTCTCGTGGGCTATCTTGGCCCAGCCTCTCTTAAGGGGGGGGGGCCAATGGATATTTTTTTGTGAAACTTGATTTCGAGATAGCAGTTGACCAACAAACTAGGACCGGTGACCGAACTTTTGAGGGGGTCCCGGACCCCAACCGCCAAACGGTGCCCGCAGGGCAGCCACGCCCATATTTGGTCCAAATTAGGCCCAATTTAGCCAAATACTCTGAACATGCCCAAAACCCAAAATTTAGGTGCTCTACTTGTAGCTAGTGGTCTCCTGAACTCGTATATGAAATTTCATCAAGATTGGACAAAAAATGACTGAGTTATGAGCCAAAAACCATATGCCCATATTTGGGCATACGCACCAAATTTGGTAGATTTCGTCCCATAAATTGGTCAAATATCAATATTTTTCACTGAAACTTACTTTATATGAAAGGTAAGCCTAAACTACATATTCTCTGTAAGTTATAGCTTTATATCTGTTTAAATGTGGATACTAAGGCGAAAAGACCACAAAAAATGAACTAAATTGCCCATATCTTGGTTCGCGATATTCGCGGAATTGATCTCATTAAAATTGTAACAACTCAATCAGTTTTCAAAATTTTTCCATGAAATTTTCGGAATCGACTCAAAATCGCATTTCCACCTTAGTTTGAGAACAGATTTTTGATTAAGGCCTTAAAAAAAATTTGGCGGCCAAATTCTGAATTTCTCCGGGAAAATTTTGGAATTTGGCCGCCAAATTTTTTTGGAGGCCTAAATCAAAAATCTGTTCTCAAACTAAGGTGGAAATGCGATTTCGAGTCGATTCCGAAAATTTCATGGAAAAATTTTGAAAACTGATTGAGTTGTTACAATTTTAATGAGATCAATTCCGCGAATATCGCGAACCAAGATATGGGCAATTTAGTTCATTTTTTGTGGTCTTTTCGCCTTAGTATCCACATTTAAACAGATATAAAGCTATAACTTACAGAGAATATGTAGTTTAGGCTTACCTTTCATATAAAGTAAGTTTCAGTGAAAAATATTGATATTTGACCAATTTATGGGACGAAATCTACCAAATTTGGTGCGTATGCCCAAATATGGGCATATGGTTTTTGGCTCATAACTCAGTCATTTTTTGTCCAATCTTGATGAAATTTCATATACGAGTTCAGGAGACCACTAGCTACAAGTAGAGCACCTAAAATTTAGGTTTTGGGCATGTTCAGGGTATTTGGCTAAATTGGGCCTAATTTGGACCAAATATGGGCGTGGCTGCCCCGCAGGCACCGTTTGGCGGTTAGGGTCCGGGACCCCTCAAAAGTTCGGTCACTGGTCCTAGTTTGTTGGTCAACTGCTATCTCGAAATCAAGTTTCACAAAAAAATATCCATTGGCCCCCCCCCTTAAAAAAAAGAAACAAAAAAAAGAAAGGTTCCCGTCCCAAATGTGATCTATGAATCGAGCAGAGATCATGTTCACTTCTTAATTTATAGCTTCTATGTACAGAGTTGTCATATGAACTCTACGGGCCGGATCAGTTTCCTTACCCAAAGTCTCACAGTGCTACTGACATCATAATAAGATGCGTCATTGCACGAGAAAGGCAACCATCCTATTACTGCTAAATATCGTCCCTTTAACAGCGAGAGAATTGTAACTGTAAGAGCAAGAGATTATTGAGCCATGATTAGAACAGCCTCTAAATTGTGCAGTAACACATCACTCTAAGAAACCTGTTTAATTGAGCTAATAAATTGTTCTACAGATACGTGTAATCCAGAACAACATGGCCTTCAACCACGTTAACACAAACATGAGCTCCCTCAGATAATTTTATATGGCCTCTTATAAGTTACTTTGTGATCTCGCTAAGCTGTTCATCAATCGTAAGGACCATTGTGATAAAGGTAGGTAAAAGGCAGCTTTGTTGGTTTGTCTGTTTCATACTTTGATCGATCTATCATTCTGAGTCTATGTAGTCTATGAGTCTACCGCACAACGCTACTACTTCCCTCCGTGAAATACAAGATATTTTAAGAAGTCGACTTTAAGTAGCTTTATAAGTATATAATAATAAAAAGATATAGCTACTTAGATATCTTTTACTACGGTTGGATTTATGAAATAGCCATTCCGTCCATACTTTTACCCAACTGAAAAGCAAGTTTACCGACTTAGTATTTGCCTCTGTGGGTGGCAAAGTAAAATTAAAATAGTGAGAATGACCAATCGTAACACTAGGGGATGACTTTTAAACCCTGCACTTTAATAGCATAATATGCAAAACTCGTCATATTTGCACACGGGAGGGATTCTTGTCACGCGTTGCACGCAGCCAATGTGTACAGGATCATTTAACGTGATGAACCTATAAGTAAGAACTAAAGTCCCTAGTTAAATGTTCCAGTCTCCAGTTTGGAACGCTAAAATCTACCTGCTACCAGGCAATGTAACTTCCTTTAAGTTTAGAGGATGAATATAATAAGTGCTACATGTCGGACAATAAGTGACAGTTGGTCAGTTGGTGGCTCGACAGTCTAGGGTTCAGATTCTTCAGAACCCAAACTTTGCCTTATAAGAGAGCATTGAAATGTGTGATAAGGTTTGATTGTTCAGTTTAAAGAGGATAAAATAGGCGCAGATCAGCGATCTTCAGCCACACCAATGACAGTATTGGTGTAGCATGAGATGCTTGTTTGTGTAGAAGAATGGCTCCCTGCGATCAGACGATCACTGCTCTGCTGTTCGTAGGGGAGAGACTATCGCAACGATACCATTTGTAATTCAGAACTCTGTTCACAACAATGCTATAACAAATGAATAAACCAATAGCGTACATAGCCTCTCTCTCTCTCTCCCTCTCTCTCTCTCTCTCCCTCTGATGCAAAAGAATTGACGATGCTTTGTGATACGAGGAGCAAAGATATAAAAGTAATTCTATTGGACACCAATATAAATCGTATAGCTTTGCTTTGCAAAATAAAAGCTATCTTTTGTCTGAGGCAAATCTTTGTTGGTCTCATTATAGTGCCCTCCCGGCGAATCAAGTACCTCTGCTAAACACAATAAAAATCTCTCAATATTTATTTGCCAACGCCACACTTGCTCCTTTTTGTTCAAACAAACAGAAAAACATATAATTGAAGCAGCGCCTTTAGCTCCTATTGGCCGGCCACAAGTACAAAATCAACCTACATATAATCGTGACGATTTTCAAGAGGGCATCTATGATCAATATACCTTAAATTTCTGCGCTAGTGTTTCAATAGTTGGGAGTTTGAGACAGGGTATTTAGTTTGAGACAAGGTATCTAGTTTGAGAGACAGGGTATCTAGTTTGAGACAGGGTATCTAGTTTGAGACAGGGTATCTAGTTTGAGACAAGGTATCTAGTTTGAGAGAGGGTATCTATTTTGAGACAGGGTATCTAGTTTGAGAGACAGAGTTTCTAGTTTGAGACAGGGTATCTAGTTTGAGACAAGGTATCTCGTTTGAGACAGGGTATCTAGTTTGAGAGACAGGGCATCTAGTTTGAGAGACAGGGTATCTAGTTTGAGAGACAGGGTATCTAGTTTGAGAGACAGGGTATCTAGTTTGAGAGACAGGGTATCTAGTTTGAGAGACAGAGTTTCTAGTTTGAGAGACAGAGTTTCTAGTTTGAGAGACAGAGTTTCTAGTTTGAGAGACAGACTTTCTAGGTTGAGAGACAGAGTCTGAGTATCTAGTTTCAGACAGATAACCCACCCCTAACTGCTTGCGTCTGCTTATCATTGCCTTTACGTAGCCAGTCCAGACAGATCGTCTCGAATATTAAGTAGGAACTATTGTGGATAAAAACCTAGCGTAACACTCTGACTAGAACAGCTATAGGCCTTTGTTCCTGGCCGTTCTGCTCCATGCCACTCCATGCATAATTCATGGTCGTGCGTATGACTATGAAAGTAAACTGTTTATGCTTATAGGTGCTATGCGACCTAAAGAAGAAAGATCAGATGAACAGTTCCCTCGATCAGGACGTGTCTAGCTCCAGCAACCAGGCTAAACAGTTGTACTTGTCTCCATCAGGTGAATACCTCCTTCTTTTATTGTTGTTTGTTTGCATCACGCTTCCCGTTATCAGCTATCGGGAATCAGTGTGTGTTTCTAACTATGATTTATCAGTAAAGCCAATGTTTTACTTAATCTTCTGACTACCTCAATTCTGTGATTCCAAAATTAAATATCATTTTCAAATTGAAAAATTTATTCATAGATCTATCTCAAATATTTGATAGTTATAGTGATAAGTCAAGTTTTTCTATTAATCAAACCAAACTAGGAGTCCCCTGAATTGATGGTCGTATATATATTTTCATATGCTGGGGAGGAAGGATTTCGAGTTTATTATTAAGAATGCCATACAGTCGATTAATTTGGCTATTATTAACTTGGAAGCCCACGAACAGTATTTTGTTAAACCTAGACAATCAATAAAATAGGATTTGATTTTGAATTTCCGAAGAATCTAGCTCTTGACATCTGTTCCAGAAAAAGCGTCTGGCGCAATATCATTTAATCGTATCTATATTCCATCAGAGTACAGGATAATCTAAGGTAAATAATAATGCAACAGAGTCATGATTGGCACTGAAGAGCAATTTAGGATCATGGTCAGTTATTGGTCGTAACCATTGACATAACCACTAATGAGGGAGAAACAAGAAGCGTGATTTTCATTTTCAAGCATACTTAGGGGGACAGCCTTCACGCAGTGGATTTTACGCAGTAATCAATATTTGAGACTGTGTTGGTGCACAATCAACTTGAATTTCACGCCTGCTGTATCTGGTTGCTATTTAAGCATTAATTCTCCTCCTATTTGAGCTCCAGTTTGTGGACAAGCGGAGCATTCTACTGACGGTAACTGTCAAAAGATCGCCTGATAAAGTGATTTCTACCCTCTAGTCATGCTTTATTTTCATGCTCCAATCAATAATTAGTGCTGCTTCACTCCGATTTAAGCAACACCCACACATGAGTGGTTCTGGTAGAGCACTGATTTACTGTCTTGTATCAGACTCAGTATCTAAGACAAGGAGTGCCAGCTTTAGGAAGGCAGTACAGTTCTCTGGACTGAACTGATCAGGGCCACAGTACTGAGTAGAGGTGATGGGAGCTGGTTACCGGAGATTGCACGACAATCTGCCACACGCAGATCCACTCAGATACTTTAATTGAATGTTTTGGTTATTATTGTGTCAGTTTAGCAGTCACGTGACCGCTACCTGTCTGTTTAACCCGGCTTTAATTCGCAAAATTGGTGGGCTGGAACTAATGATAATTCTACGCAGACGCTTGTCGCGTGCCACGCAGGACAATCTCCCCAGATACCCTCAATCGCCGTCAATTCTGACAAATTCTTTGGAGCATGGTTTGGTAATAAGAGTTGGGGTGAGTATCGAGCTTATCCTCTTCAACAGAGCAGCTTCACTTGACAGTTTCAGGTCAGGTGCTTTAAATTCAATCTGCGTCGTCCACCGCACCTTTCATTTAATCATCACCTTGTCCCCTCAGCTTTCGAGACACTCGATAACTATAAGTCTGGACAGCTTGAAGGCATTTCTTATGTTGTTCCGTCGTGCCCATCCACGCAGATAACGGCTCAAAACAATGCACATCATCACGAACCATTTTAATAAGGGTGACGGCTCCAGTAGCCCGCCATCAGCACCACAATCACAGTGTTATGCGGCCGTTTATATTGATGATTGTGGAGTTCATTGCGTCGAGTATGTAGTGATAAAGGAAACTGTGATTGTGATAACATGTGGGGCATATACTGGCCGAGCCGTGGGGAATTAGCCATCCTCAATAGGAATACGTCCATTATATACATCGTGAGAGTCATAAGGTAGATTATGTTCTTATGTTTCCGATTGGTCTAAAGTTCAAAGAAATCCATCGATAAATGTCTCCGGGCAGATTGCGAACAGGCTCATTGTTTGCTGGGCTATAAAAGGTTTTGATTCCGAGTATATTGCATTATTTTATGATACTGTCGACCATGTTCTAAACATATTTCTTGGTCAATAAAAGTTTATTTTCCGAACACCACGCGTTGTTTTCAGAAAAGTGCCCAGTGGTTAAGGTTTTATAGTGGTATACAAAGGGCGCTCTTTAATGAAATGTTTACTGTGCATTTTAAAACTAAAAGACCCTATAAAAAATACCATAGCCTTCGTGAAAAGCTAGCCTATAGATTTCGAGCTTTTAGAGTAATTTGTAGCCGCCAGCTTTTCGCGGGTGGGGTATATTATCGATTTACTATATAACTTTGAGGGAACATTAAACGTGCATATTTCTATAGCCACCTATTTTCCAACTAGTGTGGGTTTAATGCCTGAATTTTGTCGCGTAATGTACATGTATTTAAAACCGCATATGAAAATAATATATTTCTTGAAAGGGTGTCACGCATAATTTGGTACTGTTTTCAACAAATTCTCATTTCTGTTTTTCCATTCGCCGTGGCCGTGAACTCTAACCTCCAAATCAAGCAACCCATTGAACATACCAAATAGTTATGTTTAGTACATATTATCTGAACACGAAATCGTTAAACCCTAAATATCTCTACTTACGTTTTATAGGTAATCAAATCTGATGATAACATTATCATCGTGTAGTAAGCGTGTGTTAGTCCAGATAGAGCTGCGCTTTAGTCGAGCCTAAAATATTGACATATTAATCGAACTTGTATAAAACATAAATATAATCTTCTACAAGCTGGTATAATGTTCACTTTAGTAGCGAGAGATGTTATAATTATATACCTTGAAGTTAAACTTAATAAAACAATACCATTATCGTATTATTAGAGTTGAAAAATACGTGAGATAATTTTTTAAATACGCCGTATTTTGCGTATTTTTGCTTAGAAATAAAATACGTCAAAAATACGTTAAAATACGTTTTTCTTGAAATTTCATTCAAAGACTAAAGTTATGTCATTCGTTTGCATTTTTTTCAGACACATACACATTTCTATTTAACTTCAACGCTTTAATGCTTTGGTATAGCACGTGCCCAGTACTCTGAAGTCATATGCGAGGTGAAAAACGACAGAGCTACGCGAGTTTTGATAAAATCGTAAATTTATATAAAGCAATAGTACTTATTACTTTATTGGAGCTATCAATGGTACAATAACACTTATTACGTATTTTATTCAACGAAAATAAAATACACCGTATTTAACGTATTTTTGATATTTTATAAAATTCGTAAAATACGTATTTTTCAACTCTGCGTATTATAGTATTATGAAGGATCGGCCAAAAGTACTTGTGCAAACGTTTGGCTTTATAATACCTTCCGGGAATTATATCCACTAAAACTCGGGGACACCGAGGGCTGATAATTTGCTCATTTTTCCCGCAAGAGAAGCGAGGGTATTATCAGCCCAGACTCAGACTGGCTGGCGGCAAGTTTCAAAACAAATAACACTGGCGTTCTATATATTAGACACTATATTGTATGATGCGCACGTATCGGATTACACCCCTTCTGCAATCGGAACCGGAACGTATTATAAAATATAATACCTCCGCAACTTCGTGCCCGCAAATTCCCTCCAGCAAGCTGTCGGGAATTATAGCGCGCAGCACTCAGTGGCGGAGGTATTATAGTATTATAATTTTCAATTCTACGCCATACCACTGGTATGATGAGAAATACGTACTGTACGTACCTTTAAAAATAGCTGTACGGTACGTACTTTTAAACTTGGGCTGAAAGGTACAGTGCTTGCAATTGCAAAAACCACGTTCACACGACAACTTTCGTGGAAGCTGAATTCGCAGATCGCTGCAGTTCAATTTATACCATTAGATTTAGAGCAGTTGTACTTGTACAATACGTGCGCTCAAGAATCTTCCAGAGGGGTTGGACCATGTGACATTGTTGGTTGAAAAAGTTGGCAGATGTTGTTTACGCGATTTTGAGCGCATCCTCATTGTGTGAAACAAACTTTAGACACTACGAATATCTTAACTGAATAAAAGAAGGCTGAGGCTGAAGCCTCAGCTTGCTGAAAAACTAGTGTTTATTTACTCCAATAAGCACATTAAAATGTGATACTAATTTTATCTGTCACTGCTCAGTTTTATCTCTCACTGTTAATTTATTATCTTAATAGTTCATGTTTCTCTTTGACTACTATAACCTCAAATAAAATTATGATAATACTAATGGAACATTGCAAGTACTCCACTGACTTTGAAAAAAGTTAAATTTTTTCCCAAAAAAGGATGTACCCTAAAGGGCCTGTACGGTACGTACCTTTAAAAGTTGCTGTACCGTAACGTACTTAAAGCCGAGTACCGTACGTGCTTCTCATTATATCATACCAGTGTTACTAATAGTTGGAGCGGCTGATAAGGATATTGTTTAATGCTAGTTTCTAACATGCCCCAGCTTTAAAACGCTAATAAAATAAGATATTTATATTATTATTAGTTGTATACTGTTTCTTCTTGGAAATCATTAAATCTCGTTCCTTTCTAAGCTGGCTAACTAAACTCTAACTACGGCTGCTTGGATAAATAATAAATAAATATAAACTATATGGTTTTTATTTCGAACACCTTGATGATGTGATAAGTTAATGTGGTCACGAGAATTCATTATAATTTTATGATCATCGCAATCGCCACCATCCAACCAATTTAAAATCCCCCATAAAGTTTAATAAACACATTTTGAGTTCACCTATAAGAATCAAGGCGGTATCTTTCCGCTGAATAGAGAGGGAGAAAATTAGCCATCAAACAGTTGGTCAATAGTTTTACAACTTTCAATTGATCCCCGTGATTAGAGAGCAGCCTGGAAACTCCCTAAACTAAAACTATAAGCGTTTGAGTTTTGATTTTACCAGATGCTCCCTCCTTTCCCTTTGTTACCAAGCTGTTTAGCGCCTTTGAAATTTTCATTACAATACTCGGTCAGACAAATTGAGTTGAACTCTAAATTCTTCTATTTGACACCCATCTTGCCACAGAAAATTGGCCCCACAATTCTCCTCTCTAGAAAATATCCCCGACACCAACCCTCCTGTTATCAGCTCCCTCATTTTCCATTAGATTAAGTGTTGTCTGGTATTGAAATAAACCGTCGGGCATTTAAAGTAAAATAAAGGGACCATTAAACCCGTACAGGTTTAAAAGCGCCAGTTGCCGGCCCTCCCAAACAACATGATATGATACCACTTTAAACCCTGCTACGATATGGTGTCTCAGTCTGCAGAGTAGTAATAAAAGATTCCTTTTCTTTCAAGACAATGGTTTTATGTTGGAATTAATTGCAGCTCTTTTGAAAAATGACAAAATGTTGAAGCAACTCCGTGCGCATTGTTCTGAGCCACTGTTTACCTTAAAAACCTAGCTCACACTTTAATTTATTGGTAGAACATCGGTCGGCTTTTGACCTATTCTTTGAGAAACCATTACATAATAGCAGGTTATACTCACGCTTTGCTGCTGTTATCGATTAATTTCTCTCTCTTTCCGCGGAGGACGATACATTTAGAGATTTAAGCCCTGATTGGGCAGTTTCCAGGGCAGCTGAAAGTAATATCACTCGTGTGGGCTCTAGACGAGTAATTTATATTGAATCATCACTACCCAGAACCGTAAAGCTTACTGTACTGTTCAGCTAAATGTTTGCCAGTGTTCACTTAACCTTGAAATTGCTGCCCTATTGTAATTTTACTTTTAAAGCTAGCAAGATTTTAGCCAATGAAAATTGGTTATATCTTTGATTATAAATTAACCTGTGCAGGGCGGAATAATGACTTTGTCTTTAGGAAATGTTTCTCACTACAGCCACTTAAATCTCCCGTGGCCGTCTACGAATAAACATTTTCCCATGATCAAGGAGTTGAGTTGTTCACAGTTTACCTTTAGTTCATTGACTAACATGAGTAGCAGAAGGCTGACCACCTGAACTCAACTAATTCCCGACCCGGAGTCCAGTAATCATGAGTACCCACTAAGCCCGGGCAACTCACTAGTGGGCTAGTGGCTGGGTTGAAACTCAATAAAACTGAGATAAGGCATAAATCACATTCGGAGGGGAGGGAGAGGGAGTTCTGCAACTCGTCTTTGGGAGGGGTGATGATCTTAGATTTGATTTTTTTTCAGCACTTGTAGTAGAGGCAATGCCGAATATTAATAAGCCGCGGCGATTAAACTCGCATCACAACATGATGTGATTTACGAATCATGACTGTTCGAGATTTGGCCATTTGAAGCGCGCGTTTCGCCGGCCTTCTTATCGATATTAATATTCCAGGACGGAAGACCATTTTATCCTTTGTGTGAAAACACAAGCTTTCAGACAGCGGCATCGGTTAGCTTGTAGATCGCTTGGTAATCGGTATGCATATTTCATGAGCTATGAAACAGATCAGCCCAGCTGGAGTTTTAATTCCATCTGTAATTCTAGTCGGACGAATCCTATTAAAGTAGACTACGTTTTGTCAACTTGCTTTGCCTGCACAATGGTTACATCAAAAGAACTGTCCCAGACTTCTTTCATTTGGACTTATATAATAATTAATTGATCGATTATTTTCATTTCTTGCCAATGAACTGGAAGCTTATTTCGCTGATGCAGGGTAGACTTTGCTGTCTACACATATTAAAACAGTAATCTCAAAGTGGAATGAATATAACAATTTAAAGTTAAGGGTGAGAAAGAAACGAAAAAAATTGCTATTTTAGGAATAGAAAGGCTTACGCCTTACAGAGGCATCCCGCTTTTCTTAATTTTCTACTTAAAGGCGAAATTATTGATTTAAATTATTTCCCTGGTAGTAAATCAATCGGATTTCACTATTTAAATATATTTCACAATTGAAATAAATTAAAGCGGATATTAATTTTAACAATTAACAACTTCTGTTTTTGTGCCACTAGCTCACGTCACCCCTCATGGTGGCTTCGCTATTCCACCTCAAGTATCTGGAAATGTAGATCTCAACACCAACTAAAGATGTCTTTACGCGTCTTTCTCATTAGCCCATTGAATGTTCAGTGGGCACAGCGTTGAGAGAAATCATTCGCCATGTGGTCGCTTTAAACATTGTGTGAATATAAGGAATATATAGGTCTATCAGTTCAGTTTTAATGGTTTTGACACAGTATCTCCATCAATTAAACAGGTACTCAGTATCTCCATCAATTAAACAGGTACTCAGTATCTCCGTCAATTAAATACTTAGGATTTAGTGCCGGTTATCGCCCCTCTTGGAGAACTAGTTTTATCAGCTCATTGGTCTGTGTTAATCCGACAAAATAAACACTTCACTATGGTTCTAACTAGTGACTTGAATTGAGCTATTAGTTGGTACACTTAAAAGTTCGAATTTATTTTTGAAAATTATTATTCAGATTCAGCTACTTGATCAAGGATATACAGCGCAAATTCCATACTCCAAGTCCATTAATACTAACCCACTTGGCTTTTATCATAGGGGGATAATCTGTCAAGCCAATCAGCCTTTTTACAGTAACTATGATATCTTGCGACTTTACCTTCAGACTATATGATGGGTTTATTACTAAACACAGCTCAGAAAGGTTGGCATATTGTACAAAAGGTTTTGTAAATTGGTTGCTCCCCTCAACGTCTACACAATTATATTAAATAGACTTTTGAACAACTTTGG